AACGTGACCAAACTCACCGGCAGTAACCCCCCAGACCCACGGGGGACACGCAAACCCCCCCACCGTGTGACACACAATGACCCCCGGGACCACCGGGACCCCCGGGACCCCCGGGACACAGCGAGCCCAGACCACCGCTACTGACCGAACGTGACCAAACTCACCCTGGGGTCACCGGCAGTGACTCCCCTGACCCACGGGGGACATGCAAAACCCCCCACAGTGAGACACACGATGACCTAAGTGACCCCCGTGAGACACACAGTGACCCCAGGTCACATCTACTGATCTAAAGTGACCCAAACTCACCCCGTGTCACCTGCAGTGACCCCCCAGACCCACGGGGGACACGCAACCCCCCCACCGTGTGACACACAATGACCCCCGGGACCACCGGGACCCCCGGGACACAGCGAGCCCAGACCACCGCCACTGACCGAACGTGACCAAACTCACCCTGGGGTCACCGGCAGTGACTCCCCCTGACCCACGGCGGACATGCAAAACCCCCCACCGTGTGACACACAATGACCTAAGTGACCCCCGTGAGACACACAGTGACCCCAGGTCACCTCTACTGACCTAAAGTGACCCAAACTCACCCCGTGTCACCTGCAGTGACCCCCCAGACCCGCGGGGGACACGCAACCCCCCCACCGTGTGACACTCAATGACCTCAGTGACCCCTGTGTCACCCAAGACGGGACCCACGGTGACCTCCGGGACCCGTGGGACCTGAAATGACCCCCACGGGAGCTCTCAATTCCCCCGCTGCTCCGTGGGACCCACAATGAAAACCCCCGCGGGGGTTCTGTGGGGCCTTGTCCCCACAGACCAATAGGAACCCCCACATCCCCCCCCGAACCCCTCCGTGGGGACACCTTTAGGTGCTCTGTGACCCCCACGGCACCCCTAGACCCCAGTGGGGACTCCCAGACCCCGGGTGGGGTCACCCCGCAAGGGGACACCCACAAGGGACCCCACAGAGCCTCTAAGTGACCCCACATCCCACTGCGTTCCCATATCCCAAATATCGCCCCCCACCCTCCTGGAAGGGTCCCTGACCCGCAGAGACCCCCACGACCCCCCACCCCACGGTCCCACTGCAGGGGTCCCTCAGGGGACAACGGGGACACCCCCTGCCCGCCGTGGGACCCTTCCAGCCCCGCTTTGGGGGTCCCAGGGGTTTGGGGGCTCTCGGAGCATGACCGGGGGGGTCTGTGGGACCCTCACCCCCCAGGACATCCCAGGGGACCGAGACCCCCCCGCTGCCCCAGGGGTCACCCCGGTGCATTGTGGGAAACTCCCCATCACCAGCTCGGGGGGTGCGTTTGGGGGGTGCAGCCCCCCGGGGCCGGGCTGGACACCCCGCAGCGGGCCGGTGGGGGGCTGGGGGGCCCCGCTGGGTGTCGGTGGGGGGCCGGTACCGGGCAGCAGGCCCGGGGCGCCGTGATGTCAGGCGGGGGCGGGGGCAGGCGCAGGTAGATAAAGCCGGGGAGAACAGGAATCCCCGCTCCGGCGGGAGGCTGCGGGACGCGCCGGGAGCTGCAGGTAGGAGCGGGGCCGGCCTGGGGGCTCCTGGAGCCGGGGGGGGGGTCTCTGCTCATCCCGGGGTGTCGTGCCCATCCTGCCGGGAACCACCCCGGAGCTCTCCTTCCCTTCCCTGCGCCCCTTCCCGCCTTCCTCCCGGCTCTTCCTCCTCCTCAGCCACCCCGCCCTGCCTCCTCTGCTGCCTCTGCGGCCCTGGGGAGCCCTGACCCCCCACCCCGGGCACCCCCGGGACCCCCACCCACAGCTGGGCTCCTGCTCCTTAGCCCGGTGGTCCCGGCACGCTGTCCCCTGTCCCGGTGGCCCTGGAATGCCACCCCCTCACCCTGGTGGCCCTGGAATGCCACCCCCTCACCCTGGTGGCCCTGCCATCCCCTCCCTCACCCTGGTGGCCCTGCCATCCCCTCCCTCACCCTGGTGGCTCTGCCATCCCGTCCCCCTGCCCTGGCACCCTCGATCTGGTGGCCCTGCACCCCCTGCTCCATAGCCCTGGTGGCCCTGGGGCCCATCCCGGTGGTCCTGACCCCCTCCAAGCCCCCACCCCATAACCCTGTTTGTCCCCTGTTTGTCCCCTGGGTGTCCCCACCCTGGCTGTCCCCACCCTGGGTGTCCCCACCCTGCCACGGCCACCAGGACCGGGGTCACCCCGGGGTGACCTGAGGCCACGAGGGTTGGTGGCAGGGCCGTGTCCCAGCCCCAGGGCCCCGTCTGTCACCTTCCCCACGCCCTGTATCCTGCTGTGCCCCACCAGTAGCGTCACCCTGCCGGACCCCTGGCTGTCCCCGTGTCCCCACATGGCCCCGGGGTCTGCCCAGGGACGGGGGACAGGGCTGGCACAGCCGGGGCAGGGAGCGGAGGGGAGCAGAGGGTCCTGGTGGGATGCAGGGATGGGGACAGGGACAGGAATGGGACAGGAACAGGGACGGGGACAGGGACAGGGACAGGGACAGGGATGGGACAGGGACAGGGATGGGATAGGGACACTGCAGGGACAGGGACAGGGATGGGGACAGGGACAGGGATGGGATAGGGACACTGCAGGGACAGGGACAGGAATGGAGACAGGGACAGGGATGGGGACAGGGCAGGGATGGGGACAGGGACAGGGATGGGACAGGGATGGGGACAGGGATGGGGACAGGGACAGGAATGGAGACAGGGACAGGGATGGGGACAGGGCAGGGACGGGGACAGGAATGGGGATGGGGACATGGCTGGGACAGGGACAGGGGCGGGATGGGGACATGGACAGGGCAGGGACAAGGATGGGGACACTGCAGGGGCAGGAATGGGGACAGGGACAGGAATGGGACAGGGATGGGGACAGGAATGGGACAGGGACACTGCAGGGACAGGGACGGGATGGGGACAGGGATAGGGACACGGCAGGGATGGGTACAGGGACACTGCAGGGACACGGACGGGACGGGGACAGGGACAGGACGGGGATGCCATCAGCCCTGCCCAGCCGTGGACTTGGACCCGAGAGGCGGCGGGAGGTGGGCGCAGCGACGGGCGGCGGGCGAATGATTAACGCGGCTCTGCCCGGTGTCCCGGGACCGCCGGGTGCCACCGTGGGTGCCACGTGTGTGTTACGCGTGCCACGTGCTGGGGGGGGCCGTGGCACATCCCCGCTGCCCCCGGAGCCGGTACCGGAGCCGGTGCCCGGTGCCCCGGTGGCACCGCGTGGGCGCCGGCAGCGGGGCGTGGGTGGGGAGCCGGGGGGGCTGTGCCAGCTCGGGGGGTTCCCACGGCGGCTCCCTCGCCCCCGGCTGCCGGCGCGGCCGCCCGGGCCCGGATGCCAGGGCGGTGAGGTGGAGCTGGGAGCGGCNTCACCCCGGGGTGACCTGAGGCCACGAGGGTTGGTGGCAGGGCCGTGTCCCAGCCCCAGGGCCCCGTCTGTCACCTTCCCCACGCCCTGTATCCTGCTGTGCCCCACCAGTAGCGTCACCCTGCCGGACCCCTGGCTGTCCCCGTGTCCCCACATGGCCCCGGGGTCTGCCCAGGGACGGGGGACAGGGCTGGCACAGCCGGGGCAGGGAGCGGAGGGGAGCAGAGGGTCCTGGTGGGATGCAGGGATGGGGACAGGGACAGGAATGGGACAGGAACAGGGACGGGGACAGGGACAGGGACAGGGACAGGGATGGGACAGGGACAGGGATGGGATAGGGACACTGCAGGGACAGGGACAGGGATGGGGACAGGGACAGGGATGGGATAGGGACACTGCAGGGACAGGGACAGGAATGGAGACAGGGACAGGGATGGGGACAGGGCAGGGATGGGGACAGGGACAGGGATGGGACAGGGATGGGGACAGGGATGGGGACAGGGACAGGAATGGAGACAGGGACAGGGATGGGGACAGGGCAGGGACGGGGACAGGAATGGGGATGGGGACATGGCTGGGACAGGGACAGGGGCGGGATGGGGACATGGACAGGGCAGGGACAAGGATGGGGACACTGCAGGGGCAGGAATGGGGACAGGGACAGGAATGGGACAGGGATGGGGACAGGAATGGGACAGGGACACTGCAGGGACAGGGACGGGATGGGGACAGGGATAGGGACACGGCAGGGATGGGTACAGGGACACTGCAGGGACACGGACGGGACGGGGACAGGGACAGGACGGGGATGCCATCAGCCCTGCCCAGCCGTGGACTTGGACCCGAGAGGCGGCGGGAGGTGGGCGCAGCGACGGGCGGCGGGCGAATGATTAACGCGGCTCTGCCCGGTGTCCCGGGACCGCCGGGTGCCACCGTGGGTGCCACGTGTGTGTTACGCGTGCCACGTGCTGGGGGGGGCCGTGGCACATCCCCGCTGCCCCCGGAGCCGGTACCGGAGCCGGTGCCCGGTGCCCCGGTGGCACCGCGTGGGCGCCGGCAGCGGGGCGTGGGTGGGGAGCCGGGGGGGCTGTGCCAGCTCGGGGGGTTCCCACGGCGGCTCCCTCGCCCCCGGCTGCCGGCGCGGCCGCCCGGGCCCGGATGCCAGGGCGGTGAGGTGGAGCTGGGAGCGGCCGCCAGAACTGGTTTGGCCGGACCCGAGGAGGTGTTTGGGCTGAGCCGCCGCCGCCGCCGCGCTCGGCTTCCTTCTCTCCTCGGCGCCGGCACGGCTCGGCCTGGCAAAGCTCGGCCTGGCAAAGCTCAGCCCGGCATCGCCCGCTGCTCCCAGAGCCTGCTGTGGGTCCCACTTGGGATGTGGGGGATTCTTGGGGGGGTCTCAGCCCACAGCACCCGGACAGGACTGGGGGGATGGGGACACCCTCGGCAGCTCAGCCAGAGCCCCAGGGCTTGTCTGGGCACCGGGAAAACACCCCTGGGTGGGTGCCAGGGGTGGGAGCCCACATGGAGCCCGGGGTGGTGTCCTCACCCCCCTGCAAATGTAGCCATGAACCCTCCCGAGGGAACGAGGACCAACCCACGGAGCCAGACCCCCTCTCTCTCTCCCCCCCACAGATAATGCCATGGACGGGGGGGCTCAGCAGAGCAGCCTCTGGGAGCCCCCCGAGCAGGATGGGGGTCCTGGTGAGCGGGATGGGGGCGAGGGGCCGCCCGAGGTCAGGCGCTCCCAGCCCCTCTTCATCCACGGCAGCAGGTGGGTGTGAGCCGCGGGGGGATTTGGGGAGGGGAAGGGGGTGCTCGGGGGGGGTCACAGGGGGCGTAGAGCTCACCCAGCCCCCCCGTGCCTGCAGCCGGCAGCCGCCACCGGAGGAGCCACGAGCGTCGTCGCTGCCCAGCATCCCCAACCCCTTCCCCGAGCTCTGCAGCCCCTCCAACTCACCCATCCTGAGCAGCCCGGCCCTGGGACAGGGACCCCCCCGCGAGGGCACCCCCCATGTGAGTCAGGGGCTGGGAAGGGACGGGGGGATGAGGTTTGGGACACGGACACCCTGCACAGGCTGGGGAGGGGGTTTTTGGGACAGGGACCTCCCCACAAAGGCGCCAGTGGGAGTCAGGGGGTTGGGGAGAGTGGAGGATCTCAGCTCCGGGGCTGGAACCTCCTCCCACGGAGGGTTTGGGATGGGGTCCCAGCCTTTGGACAGGGAGCCCTCTGCAGAGATCCCACCATCCTGAGCCAGGGGGCCGAGGGGTTGGAAAGAGGGACCTCAACGCTGGGGAAGGAACCACCTCTGAAATGAGTCAAAACTCTGGGGAGGGAGGGGACAGGAGCCGCCTCCCACACCAGCTGGGGAGTGGGAGGTGGGGTGGGCGTTCTGTGCTTCAGCAGGGTCCCCTTGTGCTGGGGGCAGCCCTGACACCCCCCGTCCCCCGTCCCCAGGTGGTGAAGGTGTTCGGCGAGGACGGCGTGTGCCGCTCGCTGGAGGCCTCGGCGGCGACCACGGCGCGGCAGCTCTGCGAGACGCTGGTGCGCAGGACGCGCGCGCTGCACGACCACAGCTGGGCCCTGGTGGAGCTGCACCAGCACCTGGCCCTGGGTGAGCGCCCGTGGGGGCACGGCGTGGGCACGGCCCGCGGGACCCCCAAACCCTGCTGACCCCCCGTGTCCCCCCGCCCAGAGCGCTGCCTGGAGGACCACGAGTCGGTGGTGGAGGTGCAGAGCTCCTGGGCCCCGGGCGCCGACAGCCGCTTCGTGTTCCGCAAGAACTTTGCCAAGTACGAGCTCTTCAAGAGCAACGCGGTAGGTGGGCGCCCTCCGTCACCCCCCTGAGCACCCCAAGGGTCCCTGCTGACCCTCGGTCCCCCAGCAGTTGCTGTTCCCTGAGGTGATGGTGTCCAGCTGCCTGGAGGCCAACAAGAGCATGGCGCACTCCGAGCTCATCCAGGTATGGGGCAGCACGCCCGGCCGTGCCCCGGGGACCCCGCCGTGCCCCGGGGACCTCGCCGTGCCCCTCAGCCCTCGTGTTTCCCCCCCAGAATTTCCTCAACTCTGGCAGCTGCCCTGAGGTCCAGGGCTTCCTGCACCTGCGGGAGGCCGGGCGCAAGGTCTGGAAGCGTTTCCACTTCTCCCTGCGCCGCTCGGGGCTCTACTACTCCACCAAGGGCACCTCCAAGGTGAGGGCAGGGGGGTCTGGGGAAAGGGAGCACGGCCAGGGGGTGCAGCGGGGCCAGCCCTGACACCCCCCTGCCGCCCCCCAGGACCCCCGGCACCTCCAGTACTTTGCTGACCTCACCGAGTCCAACATCTACTACGTGACGCAGGGCAAGAAGCTCTACGGGACGCCCACCGAGTTCGGCTTCTGCATCAAGGTGGGGATGGTCCCCGCTTGTGGTCCTTGCCCAGGGCTCTCTGTCACCTCTGAGCCACCTGGGGCTGCCTCGTTGTGAGAACCCCGGGCTTGCTCTGGGGTCTCGTGTGGTGGAAAAGTCTCTCCTCCCACCCGTGCTTCCAAAGAAAGGCTCAGCAGCTTCTCGTTGTTCGGTCTCAAGGCAGTTTATTGTAAATTATCTAAAAGATTTTCTTCTCTTGCTGCTGCAGTTTGCTCAGCAGCTCAGGCAGAGGCACACACACACCCTGACATCCTCTCTGCTGTCTTCTTCTCTCCCCCCACCCAGGGCTGCTGCTATCTTTTATATGATATATTACATATTACATGTTTATAGTTTTTCCCCAATACCTACTACCTATATTACAAAGTGCTTTTCTACTCTAAACCAATCTGTGAGTGCCAGCATCACCAAGAACATGGAGGTGAGGAAGAAGAAGGAGGAAGAACAGGATCAGCCCACTTTCCTCCATCTTAGAACTTCTGACCCCCATGTACAAAGTGAAAACCCCCCTGTACATGTGCTAAAACCCCTGTACAATACTAAAAAAAATTCCCCTCTGTTTTGTAACTACTTTTACTATCCTATCTAACCCTTTGTGACTGTTCCACCTCCAAAGCTGGTAACTCATCCCATGGCTCAAACCCAAAATCCCAGCTGTTTCCAGCTGCCTGCCAGGGTCTCAAATGCTTCTGACCAAGGCCTGGAACATCCAAAAATGTCTGAGGGACATTTGGAGTTCCAGCAGCCCGTGACGGCTCCGGCCTCTCCCGCAGCCCCACAAGGTGCGGAGCGGCGCCAAGGGCCTGAAGCTGCTCTGCAGCGAGGACGAGCAGAGCCGCAGCTGCTGGGTGGCCGCCTTCCGCCTCTTCAAGGTGAGCCCCGCGCCGGGGGGACGCTGGGGGCACGGCAAAGAACTGGGGGGATGGCAGAGATGATGGGGTGATGGCAAAGATGATGGGGTGACACAAAGACAATGGGGTGACAGCAAAGACGTTGGGGTGATGGCAAAGATGATGGGTGACTCAAAAATGATGGGTGACACAAAGATGATGGGGTGACAGCAAAGACGTTGGGGTGATGGCAAAGATGATGGGGTGATGGCAAAGACGATGGGTGACACAAAGATGATGGGGTGACACAAAGACGATGGGGGGACGGCAAAGATGCTGGGGGGATGGCAAAGATGATGAGGTGACGCAAAGACGTTGGGGTGACGCAAAGATGATGGGTGATGGCAAAGATGAATGGGTGACAGCAAAGACGATGGGGTGATGCAAAGACGTTGGGGTGACGGCAAAGACGTTGGGGTGACGGCAAAGACAGATGCTGGGGTGACGGCAGAGACGATGGGGTGATGGCAAAGACACTGGGGTGATGGCAGGGGGATGCTGGAGGGAATTTGGAGGGATAACAGGGGTGTTCTGGAGGGTGGTGCTGTGCATCCCTGACGTTCCCCACCTTGCACAGCCCCCTAAATTATCAGGCTAACCCAGAGATCCGAGGCTTTGAGGGGAGGAATATCAGGAGATGGCAAAGATTTCCAAAAGAGGCTCTTACCCCGAGATATGTTGGTGCAGCTCTCTTTATTCTGTGATGTCCATGTGGAGAGCGGGGCAAAAGAGGACGAACAGGAAATGTCAGGGGTCTGTACAGACTTTGGACAGGGTGGGCTTCCCTGGCTCTCCCATCAGGGCAGGAAGGAGGGTCCAGGGTTATCCTGATCAGAGTCACAAGATTCCGGGGAAGGGGAAATCGAGTGCCCATGAGCTCACTGTGACACATCCCTGTGCAAACCTTGAGATAAGGAATGGTGGCTCGGAAGCGCCGTGGAATAGGAGAGATATTGTTGAGGGAAAAAGGAAAACTGGAAAATGAGTTTCAAAAGGTGGACTTGTCAATAAGACTAGATGCTTTGGAGAAATAGAAGTGTGAAAGATGCATTGTAGTCGGGCCCACAGGGGGTAATTTTAGGTGGTTGGCTTTAAGGCACTTACAGCACGGGGTAGCAGAAGCTGAGAGGTCAAAGAACACTTAAAATGTTCTGTAATTAGGAAATAATTGGCTTCTGATTGTGATGGTGTGAATTATAACATCTGGATTGCCTCACCCTTCACATGAGACTGAAAATGGAATAAAAGCTTTTAAAACACCTCTCAGCTGCCCCGTGTCTGGGTCAGAAAAAGGGCTTAAGGTGACAGTGCTGGAAGGATGACGGGGGAATGACCGGGGGACACTGGAGGGATGCTGGGAAGGTGCTGGAGAGAGACAAGCCTGGGAATGTGGAGGGGCTCCAGGGGGATGCTGGAGGGATCACCCCATCCCAGCGAAAACGTTTCAGGGTGGGTGTCCCTGTGCCCACGTGGAATGGGTGCAGAGATCCACCCCGCCCCCTGCACTGGGTGGCTGTGGAGGCCCCTGGGTGTCCCTGGGTGTCCCTGGGTGTCCCTGAGTGTTCCTGGGTGGCTAAGGAGGTCCCTGGGTGTCCCTGGGTGTCCCCGAGTGTCCCTGGGTGCCCCCCACCCCACAGCAGGGCCCCCCCAGCTGACGGAGCTGTTCCCCCAGTACGGGATGCAGCTCTACCGCAACTACCAGCAAGCGCAGGCACGACTGAGCCAACCCCCCTGGATCGGCCCCACGCCCCTGGTGAGTGTCCCCTCCCTGTCCCCCGCAGCCCCCCGGCCCGTGGGGACCCTCGGGTGACGCCCCTGTCCCCCCCCTCCCACCCAGCGAAGCGTCTCGGACAACGCGCTGGTGGCCATGGACTTCTCAGGGTGCACGGGCCGGGTGATCGAGAACCCCAGCGAGGTGCTGAGCGTGGCCCTGGAGGAGGCACAGGCCTGGAGGGTGAGTCGGGGTGCTGGGCAGCGAGGGGGAGTCCCCCCGAGGCCACCCTAAGGTGCTCTCCTCTCTCTGTGTGCCCAGAAGAAGACGACGCACCGCTACAGCCTGCCCGCAGCCTGCCACAGCTCCCCGCTCAGCGCCGGTGAGACGTGGGCTCGGTGCCCGGGCAGGGGGGGGTCCCCCACACACCCCCCCCAAATCTGACACCCCTCTCCTCGCAGCCATCCACCGCACCCAGCCCTGGTTCCACGGGCGCATCTCCCGGGAGGACACCCAGCAGCTCATGGGCCGCCAGGGCTTGGTGGATGGGTACGGCACCCTAGGGTGGGGGGTCGGGGTCCCTGGGGCTCCTGGGGACTCCTGGGGGGTTCAGGAGCTCAAGGTTTAAGGGGTCCCGCAGCTCCTGGGGGGATCCAGGACACGTGTGGGGTGAGGGTGAGCGATCCCAGGGGGGTCGTGGCTCCCGGGATGTCGCAGGGTTTGGGGGACGCAGAGATTCCCAGAGATGCCAGGGGGTAGCGGGCTACACCCGGGTCTTTCCCAGGAGGTTTTTGGGACCCCACGGGTGACACTGGGAGGGCAGAGGGGACCCGGGGGATGGCGGTGACACCGCTGGGGCTCGCAGGGTGTTCCTGGTGCGGGAGAGCCAGCGGAACCCCAAGGGCTTCGTGCTGTCCCTGTGCCACCTGCAGCGCATCAAGCACTACCTCATCCTGCCGGTGAGTGCCAGCCTGGGGCCGGGGGGGTCGGGCTGGGGGGCTGGGGGGTCGTGGGGGGCGGGGGGGGGCTGGGGACAGGGGTCCTGACCTGCAGCCCCCCCGGCAGAGCGAGGAGGAGGGTCGGCTCTACTTCACCATGGACGACGGGCAGACGCGCTTCGCCGACCTCATCCAGCTGGTGGAGTTCCACCAGATCAACCGCGGCATCCTGCCCTGCAAGCTGCGGCACTACTGCACCTGCGTGGCCCTCTGAGCCACTTTGGCACAGCCTGGCACCACCGGCACGGCGGGGCTTGGCTCAGGCTGGCACCGCTGGCGTCCTTTTGGCTCAGCCTCGCCGCCGACGTAGCGCGGCTTGAGGCGGCCCAGCAGCGCTGGCACGGAACGGCTTGGCACAGCCTGGCACCACCTGAATGGTTTGGCACAGCCTGGCACCAGCTGGGTGGTTTGGCACAGCCTGGCCCTGCTGATATGGCACAGCTTGGCACAGCTGGGCACCACTGACACGGCACGGATCAGCACAGCCTGGCCCTGCTGGCACAGCTTGGCACGGCCCAGCGCCACCAGCGTAGTTTGGCACAGCTGGGCACCACTGACACGGCACAGCTCAGCACAGCCTGGCCCTGCTGGCACAGCTTGGTGCCAGCGGGATGGTTTGGCACAGCCCGGCACCACCAGCATGGCGCGGTTTGGCACAGTCTGGCACAGTTGGGTGGTACGGCACGGCCTGGCACTGCCAGCATGGCACAGCTCAGCACAGCCCGGCACCATCAGGATGATTTGGCACAGCCTGGCACAGCCCAGCGCCAGGACCCCCACACTCAAGCACTTTCTCCCCTCTGCCCTGCAGCACCAGCCCCGAGTGTCCCTGCAGGGGCCTGGCACTCCTTGCCCCCACACCAGGGGGGTTTTGGGGTCCCCAGGAGCGGGGTCCCGGGGTGTGGGGGTGAGGGGGGCACCCACCACCGTGTCCCCCACATCTCCTCGAGGCCAGTTAAACCGGGACACGTTTTATACCAGTGATAATAAAAGTTATTTTTGCAGAGTCCTGCCTCGTTCCTTCCCACCCCCAGAGCCCCCCCAGTGCTGGTGACACACGGTTGGCAGTGTCCCCATGTCACACAGTGTCCCCGTGTCCCACAGTGTCCCCACGCCTGGCAGTGCCCCCACATCCCACAGTGTCCCTATGCCTGGCAGTGTCCCCACCTCCCACAGTGTCCCCACCCCTGGCAGTGTCCCCATCTCCCACAGTGTCCCCACCCCTGGCAGTGTCCCCACATCCCACAGTGTCCCCACCCCTGGCAGTGTCCCTGTGTCCCACAGTGTCCCCACGCCTGGCAGTGTCCCCACGCCTGGTAGTGTCCCCATCTCCCACAGTGTCTGCAGGCCTGGCAGTGTCCCTGTGTCCCACAGTGTCCCCACATCCCACAGTGCCCGCACACCTGGCAGTGTCCTCATCTCCCACAGTGTCCCCATGTCTGGCAGTGTCCCCACGTCCCGCTGTGTCCCCACGCCTGGCAGTGTCCCCGTGTCCCACAGTGTCCCCACGCCTGGCAGAGTCCCCACGCCTGGCAGTGTCCCTGTGTCCCACAGTGCCCGCACACCTGGCAGTGTCCTCATCTCCCACAGTGTCCCCACACCTAGCAGTGTCCCCATCTCCCACAGTGTCCCCACACCTGGCAGTGTCCCTGTGTCCCACAGTGTCCCCACGCCTGGCAGTGTCCCCACGCCTGGCAGTGTCCCCATCTCCCACAGTGTCTGCAGGCCTGGCAGTGTCCCTGTGTCCCACAGTGTCCCCACGCCTGGCAGAGTCCCTGTCTCCCACAGTGTCCCCACGTCCCACAGTGTCCCCGTGTCCCACAGTGTCCCCACGCCTGGCAGTGTCCCCACGCCTGGCAGTGTCCTCACGCCTGGCAGAGTCCCTGTCTCCCACAGTGTCCCCACGCCTGGCAGTGTCCCCGTGTCCCACAGTGTCCCCACACCTGGCAGTGTCCTCACGCCTGGCAGAGTCCCTGTCTCCCACAGTGTCCCCACGCCTGGCAGTGTCCCCGTGTCCCGCTGTGTCCCCACAGCGCCCCGGGTGCCACACAAAGGCCCCTCTGTGCTGCCCGGGCACCACGTGCGGCTCAGCCACGCGGCCGCCGCAAATCCCCAAATCCCCGGGAGTTGGGGGGGGATTATCCGGGGGGGATTAAGCGCCCGGATTTGGGGGGGCTGGCGCTGGGGCAGCTGCTATAAATGCGGGGGGCTGGGGCGCGGGGGGGATGCCGTGCCATGGCTCCCAGGACGGTGCTGATCACCGGCTGCTCCTCCGGTATCGGGCTGGCGCTGGCCGTGCGGCTGGCCAGGGACAAGCAGCGCCGCTTCCGAGGTGAGCGGGGCGGAGGGACCCCCCAGGCCCCCGGGGAGAGCCCGCGGGGGCTGAGCCGCTGTGCCCGCAGTGATCGCCACCATGAGGAACACGGGCAGGAGCGGGGCGCTGGCGGCGGCCGCGGGGCCGGCGCTGGGTCGGACGCTGGAGATCAAGCAGCTGGATGTGTGCGATGAAAGCTCCATCCGCGCCTGCCTCGACAGCATCCCCGGGCGCCACATCGATATCCTGGGTGAGCACCCGGGTTCCCGTCCCACCGTGAGCCCGGTGTGGGGACACTCCATGGTGGGGAGTTCTGTACCGGGGGCTGTGCAGCCGAGATTGTCCCCGTGCCGTTTGTGGGGATTATTTGTGCTCCCAGAGCTGGCACCCGCCTTGCCAGGGCTACCTCATGGCCCTGACCCCGTGCACCAGGGACTGTCCATGCCAGGGACCCCCTGCACCAGGGACATCCCTGTGCCAGGGACCCTCCAAACTCAGGGCATCCCATTCTGGGGACCCTCCGAGTACAGGGGACCCTCATGCACAAGGGACCCCCTGACCCCACACATGAGTGACTCTCCATGCCAGGGTCACCCTGAACCAGGGACCCTCCACACCCGGGGCATCCCATGCTGGGGACCCTCTGAGCACAGGGGACCCTCTGTGCCAGGGGACACATGCACAAGGGACCCCCTGACCCCACACATGGGTGACTCTCCATGCCAGGGTCACCCTGAACCAGGGACCCTCCACACCCAGGGCATCCCATGCTGGGGACACTCCGAGAACCAGGGACCCTCCATGCCCAGGCTGTGGGATCCCCCTGCCCAGGGCACACCCCACTGATGCCCCCCACCCCACAGTCAGCAATGCCGGGGTGGGCATGGCGGGACCCCTGGAGTGCCAGAGCCTGGCGGCCATGCAGAACCTCATGGACACCAACTTCTTCGGCCTCGTCCGCCTGGTCAAGGAGGTGCTGCCCGACATGAAGCGGCGCCGCGGGGGTCACATCGTCGTCATCAGCAGCATCATGGGCCTGCAGGGTAGGGGAAAACGGGGTGCCCTGGAGGGGGACCAGCGCTCACCCAGCCCTGACTGGAGCTCCCCAACCTTCCAGGCATCGTTTTCAATGACATCTACTCAGCCTCCAAGTTCGCGGTGGAGGGTTTCTGCGAGAGCCTGGTGGTGCAGGCGCTGCGCTTCAACGTGGCGTGAGTGCGGGGGCAGGCAGCCGTGCAGCCACCGGGGCCGTGGGTCTGGGGGTGCCCAGTGCCCAGTGCCCCGTCCCTGGGCAGGATCAGCCTGGTGGAGCCGGGGCCGGTGATGACGGAATTCGAGATGAAGTTGTACGAGGAAGCCGAACGCGCCGACTACTCACGGACCGACCCCGAGACGGCCGAAATCTTCACTAATGTCTACCTGAAGAACTCCAGGGATGTGTTCACCAGCCTGGGCCAGACCCCTGAGGACATCGCAGAGGTGACAGGCGGGCAGGGGACCCCGGTGGGCTGGGGGTGCCCTGCTGGGCTGGGCTGGGCTGGATAGAGGTGTTAATTAGCCCTAACAAGGACCAGCAATGCCCAGCCAGCAGCGGGGCGGCTCGCACCCAGACAGCTCCATCCTGATGGGGCTGAGCCTGGCTGGGGATGGGAATAGGAATGGTGGTGGGATGGGAATGTGGATGGGATGGGAATAAGATGGGAAGGAACTGAGGGTGGAGATGGGAGGAAATGGAATGGGAGTGAGAAGGGATGGAAACGGGGTAGGATGGGAAGGAGTTGGGGATAGGAATGGTGATGGGGCGAGGTGGGATGGATTAGAGATAGGATGGGTAAGGCTTAGGGATGGGAATAAGAAGTGAATGAGAAGGAGATGGGATGGGAATGGGGATAGGAGGAGAATGGGAAAGGAGGGGATGGGAATGTGAGTGAGGATGGAGGTGCAGATGGAGATGGGATGCAGACGTGGTTCTGGGGGATGGGTGGGGGACAGGGGTGGGATAGCAATTGTGGTGGGCCAGGGTGGGAGACAAGAAGGGGACAGTCCCGTGCCCACGTGCAGCACACCCTGCGGGTGATCGAGGCGGCGCGGCCGCCGTTCCGGCACCAGACCAACGTGGCGTACACGCCGATGGCTGCGCTCAAACACGCCGACCCCAGCGGCGCCCTCATCACCGACGCCTTCTACAAGCTGGTGTTCAAGTACGACGCCGTGCTGCGCTTCGGCCTCCGCGCCATCCGCCTGCTCCGCTGGAACGCGCAGAAGGTCAAGGCGGGCGTGCGGCTCCTGGGCTTTAAATAAGCCCTTGTGGCCCCTGGGTACAGCCCAGCCCATCCCAGGGATGGGGACAAGAGGGCCGGGAGCCGTGCAGGGTTTCGCTTCCCGTTCCCGGCCTGAAATAGCTCCTGCCGCCGCCGCATTAAAATGGGGAGGGTATTTATAACCAGTGCCGGGTGAGCGACGCAGAGCAGCTTCCTCCGGGAGTGCAGCGGCCGTGACAGAGCTGGGAAGGGCTGGCAGCTGCCCCCTGCCTGCCTCCTGCTCCCCAGGGGCACCTGAACCTCTGACTGACGGGCATGTGACACCCAGGGGACCTCAGCACGTCACCCCCCCGGAGCTGCATCCTCCTTCCTCCAGGCACTGCAGTGCGGTCGGGGGTGTCCCACGGTGGGGGGCTCTGTGTCACCTCTGCCTGGGGCACTGGGGCAGCACAGGGGGTGCAGGGAGGGCAGGGAGCAGGGTGACAGGGGTGTTTGGTGTGTTCAGAGGGGCACGGGGGCGGTATTTGGGGTGCAGGAACTGGTGCAGAGTGGGGGTGGGATGTCTGATGAAGACTGGGGGCAAGGTGGGTGCAGGGGTGCCCAGCAGCTCGCTCTGGCCCAGGGACTCCCCTCCAGCTCCCGGTGGGTGACGGCGGGGTGGGTTCACCCTGGGCGCTGGCGTGTGGGTGCTTGGCGTGACAGCACCGGGAGGTGAGCGCAGGGGGAAACCGCAGGAGGCCCGGCATGAATCAGCTCGGCTGCTAAGAAACCTTCCTGGCTCCCCTCGCACTCCCTGGCACAGCCCCCGGAGCCCTGGAGGGACCCCCAGCCTCCCCGGAGAGGGCTGGATGGAAGCGGCTGCAGCTCCGTGTGCCCCGCACGTGGCTTCCCCGAGCTCCGCCGGCTCCAGGGACCGTGGGGACAGGACGGAGGTGGGGAAGGAAATATTTTTGCATTATCCCCCCCCCCTCGTTCTCGCACGAGTTCATGGCAAAGCAGTGATGGGACCGTGTCCCCGGGGTGATGGCAGCACCTGTGGGACGTGCAGGGGTGACATCAAAGCGGTGACAGTGTCGCTGCCTCCCCCCGCTGCGGTTTCTGCAGATTTGACTAACTTTCTCCGTTTGGGGGGCAGGTTTGGGGGGGGGGGGTTGGTAGGCGTGACTCTGCCCGGCCCCGGAGAGCAACAAGGGGGGCTCCCGGTACAAAGCCACAGCTGTGGGAAACCGGGCTGAGGGAGGACAGGACCCCCCTCATACACCCCCAGTGCCCGGGGGAGCAGCCACGGGGCTGGTGCTGGGGGAACTGGGGGCAGCAGGATGAGCCCCAGCCCTGCTCCCAGCCTTGCTCACGGCGATCCCGGGCAGAGAGAGGGGGGAATGCGGAGCTGCTGAGGGTGAGGGGATCCCCGAGCAGGGGGGAGCCCCTGGGTTATGTTTGAGGCTGAGGAGCATCACCTCCCACCTGGAGCATCCTCCGAGGCCATGCAGCACCGCTTCGAGCCCAGGGCTATCGCCCCTATCCCGCCGCAGCCCCGCGGGCCCGGGGTGGAGGCGCTGCCGCAAGGGCCGGAACGGTGAGGGTTGGAAGTAGATTCTTCTAAAAACAATCCTCTGCTGGGACTTTCCTGTCGCCAGCGTGTGACAATTGCCAGCCGCTCCCCGTGTCCTCGATCCCCCGAGGATTTCGCTGCCAGGTGCCGACTCGCTGCCATGCAAATGCGGCGCCAGATATAACCGGGCTGGAGGGGCTGGAGGGGCCGGTTCGGCGGCTCCCCGGGGGCTTCACTTCCCTCCCGGCGCAGCGAGGGGGGCATCAGGCGTGACACAAACCTGCTGTCCCCGCGGTGGTGCCCCGGTGACAGTCACGGCCCCGTCCCCTCTTGTGCCGCACCCGTGCGTCCCGGTGGGAGCCCCGGCGCTGCGGAGCTTCCCCCATGGCTGTGCCAGAGCTGGGGGCACTTCCAGTGCCCCTTGCCGCTCAGCACAGCACAGAGCTGGCTCTGCTCACCCCCTGCCCCCCGGATTTGGGAGCCACGCGGAGGGTGGGAAAACGCCGCCAGGTCCCCGCCGGGCCGGCGCGGGGAGCGTGACTCAATGCACGGCCGGGGAATTGGGACACCGAGGAGGTGGTGACAGTGACTCAGTCCTCCCCGTCCCCTCCGGGCACCGTGGCGTTTTGGGTGCTGGACCGCTCCCCGCGGGAGCAGGAGCCGGCCGGGATGCTCCAGGGATGCAGACCAGCACCCGGAAGTTTTACGGGATTTTTTGTGCATGAAGAAGCGTGTTTCAACACGACGACGGGAGAAACGAGTTCCTCCGTGCTCTATCACGATTACAGCTATCAGCAGATAAGGATCTCTCTGTCACAACACCAACTGAAGGTTTCTGCAAGCCTTTAAAGGAGTTTGGCTCCAGGCGGGAGAAGGCTGAGGGGGTTTGGATCAATCCAATTCTTATTAAGGGACAAACCAGGATGGGAAGACGCCGCGGGACTCGCTGTCCGCAGCCCCGAGCCCTCTCTGTGTCACCCAACCCAGAGCAGCAGGGGGAAAGACCCCTCGGTGTTTGTGTGGCACCCGAGCTGGAAGGAAGTGAAGGGAAAAGAAAAAAAAAAAAAAAGATCCTCTGACTTTCATCTCGGTTTTTTTTTTTTTTTTTCGTTTCTGTTTCTCAAGCGTGTCCAGCTCTTGTGGCAGGAGGTGTCAGGGGGGGATGAAACAAGCGCGAACAACGTCAGCCTGGTAACGCAGGTGCTAAAAGGGCCGGGGGGGTTTGGTGTGAGCCTCCACCCTCCGCCGCCGGGATGTTTCCATCTGCCTGCCACAGCCCCGGGAACCACGAACCCACCCCACAGCCCCGGGAACCACGAACCCACCCCACAGCCCCGCCGTGGGGCTGAGCTGCCCCCACCCCACAGCTCTCGGGTTCAACAGTTCCTCTATTAACCAACCCCGTGTCCAACACCATTTTCCAGCAGTCAGAGGAGCAGATGATGTTATTTTACACCTCTGACGGTGTCAGTAACTGGTTCTGCTGAGCACAGCCCCCACCGTGGCTCGGCACCCCGTGGGGACACAGCACAGCCACAGGTGTGCTGCTCACAGGTTCCATCACACCTTTAAGCACCAGAGGCTCATTTCTTGGTGCTAAAAGCTCCTTCCCTGAGCTTTCCCTGCCCACTCTTGAGGTGTAATTCATCAGTGAATGAAGAACCAAGTGGGACAGACACACCAGGGCACTGGAGAATGCTCCAAACTTGTGCCAGACCAAAATAACCAAGGCATGAGCAGAATAAATCAGGCTCTGAACGAGTACCAGTGGTTTTCCCATCTGTTTTCCCAGACAAGGTGGTTTCCAGAGCTCCTTCAAGCTTAGAGACTTGCCCTGGACCAACACAGCCCCTCAACATCCAGACATGGCCCAGTGGGATTCCCATCTCCCAAGCCAGGGCAGCACTGTGGGACAGGGGTAAATGATCAAGTGTGAAGGGAAAATTCATGTGTATTCTTAAATGAATCCATTATCCAATCTACTTATGGAGAATCAGATTTTTGGATGGCTCTAGGAGGTCTCTCTCTGCTGATTCCTTTAAGAAGCTGCCTTTGCGCCTGCCCTCAAGTCAGGACATCATCATTATTTAAATATTTTATTCATTTATTGACAATTCTTTGGTCTTGAAAACTAAGCCATTGAAAAGCAAGCTTGTCACAAAATTAGAAATTGATAAAGACAACCACAATGTCCTAAAAATGTCGGACTTAGAAATGTCAGGGCAGCAGTGGAACCTTGTCTATGTTCTCTGGGAATCCTCTCACTCCCTTTCCCTCTCTTTTCTGGACCCAAAAGTTTGGCCTTTGGGGCTGATCCTTGGTGGAACTGCAGCCTCCCTCACAGGTGGAGCATTGGTCACATTGTGACACAGGTGTTCACTTGGGGAGAGATAACGTGCACTTTTCTCGTGATGGAGCTCTTGGAAACATCCTAAACCTGCTTTACAGCTCCACACATAACAGCAGGAGAGTTCTTAACCCAAGGGATAGCAGGATCCTGGATTAGCACTTCCACAGCACTCTGGATACTCAGACTCACTACAGGCTGATTTATCCCTCTCCAGATCCACCTTTAGTGGGAAACATGAGTACAAATTTCTTATTTTGTACCTTATAATTCAGGGAGAAAATACTTGAGCCCAAAGAATTCAGAGGGAGGGATGATTTTCAGTACTTCTTGACCCTCATCTCTTCAGCCTTCCCTCAGGGAAGTGATTGGATCACCAGGAATAACACAAAAGCAACACAGCTCTCAAACCACACAAGGGATGCAGAAAGTCCATCAGAACACTCCTAACTATGGGATACAAAAATATTTTGCAAAGACTAAACCTTCACTCAGCAAAGCCCTTACCAAGCCCCTCTCCAGTAACAGGGACACCAACACAGCTGCAGGGCCACGGGGAGATTCCAAGAGCTGTTGTAAAAAGCAGCTTCGGAGGGATGGAACCTGCTCAGGGTGTGGAGCAGCACCTCCCGAGGGCTGTCCTGGTCTGGTTGTGACTCTCACACCCCTGCCTGGGGTCTCACCTGTCCACAGCCAGCCAGGGCCACCCTGTGGGGACACGGATGGCACGGCCACATGTCCTGCTGCGGGAGCAAGGCAGAGGCACAACACACAGCACAGATTCATCCTCATTCTTGGCATCCATCAGAAAGGAGGAGTTTCCAGCAGTGAAAATCGGGATTTCCTCCAGGCCACATGGATGAGCCAACCAGTGACCTCACTGGGTATCCCAAAAATATGTACTGTTAAAAAATCCCAACTCCAAATAGGTCTCATTTCTTATTTTCCTCTTACTGAGTAACTTTAAAGAAAGTCAGCAGTGGGGTAAGAAAAGTGAAAGTGTGCCACACTCTTGTTAGGGGTTAGGGGAAAAGCTTTAAAGAGGGATTAATAATCCCTCCCTTTTCTTGTCCTCATTTTCCTTGTTTTGGTGATGAGCCACTGGAGGCCATTGGGATTATAACTAGGAAAAGCTCCTCCAACACACCTCTGACTATTCACCTGAATGAGCAGGGGAATTGGCATGAAAACCTTTTGTGCTGACTTAAAGCAAACTCTATAAAAACAAACACAAGTTAAAAATTGAAAACATCGTAAATGGCTCTGAAGTTTCACAAAAATAAAGTTCATCTCAAAAACAGTCTCTGCTCCTGGTGTTTCCCACAGTCCCCCTCACCACAGCAGCCAGGCAGAGATGCTACAGAACACTGAATTACTGAGTAAGACAAATTTAAGAAGGTGCCACCTCCTCGTGACACACTTAAAAACTGGCCTAGAAAAATACTCAAGAAACTTCATTATACTAATTAAAACTCCGACCAACCTCCCCTCCGATGGCAAACACAGCCTTTGACCTTGGAGAACCGGTCCTTTCACTTGAGCACGACTCTGTGCTCTCCCCGAGCTATGTGTGAGGAGAACTCGTAGCGGTCGTGGCTCCGGTAGCCGCAGACGTTGCACTCGAAGGGGTCGCGGAAGCCGTGGCAGCCCATGTGGATGGTGAACATCACGTAATCGAGGAAGAGCACGCGGCAGTGGTCGCACCGGTACACGCCGATGGCCTCCCCTTCCTTGTTGATGACCTTGAAGGCGTCGCGCGGGCAGATGGCGGGTGGCTTGATGATGTCGTAGGGCCTCGGGAAATCCTTCAGCGCCTGGAGGCCGTTGCGGCTCGGAGCCGGGATCACCTGGCTCTGGTGGAAGGTGGGATTGGGCCTCTCCTCGTGGTTGCTGTCAGTGTCTGTGGAGTCGTGGCCGCTGTTGTTCGGGGAAAGGCCCCTGTCGGATGAAAGGCTCTTGTCCCTGAGGTGGCCGTGGCTCTTCTCGGCCTCCGGCGCGGTGCCGTTGGGGACGTCGGCGCGGGGCAGCGGCAGCGGGTACAGGCTGCTGATGACCGGCACCATCTCGGCCGTGGGCGCCGGCGGGGTCTGCACGAGCGGGCGCAGGGCCTCGGCCCCGAGGTAGGTGATGGCGTTGTTGATGGCCTGGTCCATCATGCGCCCGTGCATCATCTCGCTCTCCTTTTCGTACAGGAAGCTGGAGTTATAATTGACATCGAAGCTGGGTCGTTTCTCACCTGTGAGAGATGAGAGTGATAATTAGCTGAGTGGGTAAAGAGCTGTTTAAATCCTGTGATGATTTTTCTAAAGGGTAGAAATCTCTGGGAATGGGGGATGATATGTTCTCTGCTGAAAGAGGCTGTGCTTAGACACAAGTAGATTTTGGGTGGGGTATTTGTTTATTTAATATTTTTTTTAAATCTCAGACTTAGAAGCAAGCCAGTCTAATAAAGGAGATGGTGAGGGTACTTTCTGAGAGATTCATCTTTGACAAGTCCTAGGACACTGAAGTCACTTTTCCTCACTGCTTTGACAACTACATTTCCTCTGCACCACATCTGGCTTCTTGGACCTCTACACAGGTATTCAGGTAATCTAATACTGGCAGATATAAATATAGATATAAACCCCCCACAGTTAAGGTCACTTGATACAGGGTTAATGAAAAAAAAAAAGTTTTCCTCTGGGCGTGCTGGGGCTTGGAAAGCTCTGGGCTGGACAGAAGTGGAGGAGAGTGCACCTGGAATTCTGCTCACACCTCTCTGGGCAGCACAGTGCAACTCCTGTTCTCTGTGCCAGCTGCAAGGAGGAAATAAACTGCACCCCAAAAGCACTAAAGACATTTTGGAGGTGAATGTCTAGAAATAAGTAACTGAATTCTGTGGTTACTAAAAGCATAAATTTGTTCATAGCTTAAAAAAAAATACAAAAAGAAAGACCAGATGAAAGGTTTCACATGCAAGTGACTCGCAAACATTAGATCCACGAATCTCTTAGTTACGGTAACTCGACTGGTGCAGATGTTTATCAGTCACCTGTCAACACCGTGACTCAATGTGTATGAAACTCGTGGGGTTTCACTGCAGAGGCAGAAAACCAGGAGCTCACGTTTCTCTTCTAAAACACTCCAAAAGGTTAACGAACCACAGGAGTATAACTGCTTCCAGCCCGCAGCACCACTTGCCGTCCAGCTTCACATGGAAGGAAACAAAATGCCGCAGTACTTTTGGGTGACTCATAAAAAGCAGCTCCAGGCAAGTGAAAGATGTGAATAAATTGGAATTTAAGAAGGAAAAAAAAAAAAAAA